TCTACCGCAGTCGCGTGATGGGTATAGAGGTTCCTGACACAAGGTGCAGGGCCTGCCGCGAGGCGCCCGAGACCCTAATGCACTTGCTATCAGCATGTCCAGCATATGCGGTCTCAGCCTATATCCATCGACACAACGCGGCCCTAAGAGTGCTATATTACCATTTACAGCACTCTTACTGTACTGACGAGACACCGGTGTTGCCCTACGCTCCGGGGGATATTGAATTCGTTGTGGGGAACGAAAAGTGGCGAATTTATTGAAACTATTCGTTCCCCAACCTCAGGATCATACAAAGTAATAAGCCTGATGCAGTCCTTCTCTACCACCAGACCAAAACGATATTTGTCGTGGAGTTTTCAGCTCCTGGCGACACGAATATCGTCAGAAAAGAGGAGGAAATACTGATAAAATATCGAGATTTTCTTTTCGAACTCCGCAGACTCTATCCAGATCACTCTGTCAAGATGGTTGTTCTGATTATTGGAGTCCTTGGTGGAATAATGTCCTCTTTACTCTCGAATCTTAAAATCATACCGGCTTGCCGCAGTAAGGCAGAAATCTTAGCCGCACAGATGCAGAAGGCTGTCAGTCTTGGCTCACTGCGCTTGCTCGGGGCACATGATTCTCGGACCCAATGATCATCTCGAATGTATCGGGGCTTCGGGGGATAGGGCCTGACCAGCGCACATTACGTTGGAAATAATAATAATAATAATGATAATCGCCTTCATTGTTCCCCAGCTGTAGTTACATACAAACATTTAGATAAATTACAGAGCTAGTTGCTGATATAACAGAAGGCGAAGTTCAACTCAGTTAGCACAAGTGCTACTGAATTGTTCTTCAGTTGATATTTTGGGTAGGTTTCAGAAAATCCAAAACATTCCAAAAACATTTGAAATTTGGATTTTTTTTTTCAATTTCTCTGTTATTTGAATACACTGACCCGTTACTTGGTGATAAGTATATATCTATATAAAGTATCTGGTAAGTATGATCTGACCCTAGTCGATTATTATTATAGATCAGTCAAAAGCAGTAATACAGAACCATGAAAATGTATAGACTTGGTTTTTTGTATGCTATGTTTTGATATAGCTCAGGAGGATATTTCATGCCGTGATGTCAGCAACTGGTCTCTTGGTAAACAAATTGAATGTACTGCTGAAAGAAAGTGCTCTGGTGAAAATAAGAACCACTCAGTCAAGGATCCAAAGAAAGTTCATTTTTCACCCATATGTTCACAAGATGAAGTACATTGTTCATTGAATATCATAGATAGGCGAACAAATATTAATTACATCTTAGATTGGAGTTTGAAGAATAAATGTTCAGTCATTTCAATACTTTGCATAAAGGAGCCAATCATATTCAGTTATGAGGAAAAGAGAAATGAAAATTTCTGTTTTTCACCACTTTTATTTGTAACTAACGTTACTGCAGTTTCGTCCTATATGAACATTCTCAAACTTATACAATTTAGTTTTTTTTAGTAGTTAGTAGTTAGTTTATTGTATACGTTTAATTTAGTTTTTTTAGTCGTTAGTAGTTATTCATTTATCAACAGGGTCTTTGTATCTACGACATGAATTTGAAATATTATCTTTAGAACAGCGACGTCAATTATCAGCAGTGATATTCATGCACAAATTCTTGAATAACAACATTGATTCTTCAGAAATTCTCAATATGTCACCATTTCACATACCCCCTCGCGCAGCCAATTTTCACTCATGTTCAATATTCCAACCGTAAGTACCGCAACGAAAGCACCAACTAATATCTTTAATAAAGTTAGTTAATCGTTTGAATATATCAATAGATCTTGACTGGACACTTTCCCAATCAGTATTCCGCAAAAAAAATTTGGAAAATATTTTAAATTTACCTATTTAAGCAATATTTCCCTCCACAGTTCTGGTACATAATTTACTATTTCCTTACATTCATAAGATAATAAATAAATAAATGAATGAATAAATCTCTAATGTATTGCCTGGTACATATTTTACGATTTTCTTACATTCATAAGATAATAAATAAATAAATGAATGAATAAATCTCTAATGTATTGCCTATTAGAATATATTCATGACTATACCTTGAATACCATTTCTCACCCAATTGTTAATCAAACATATGTTACTCAAATCAGAATTTTGACATATAAACGATATGATTCACGGCCAGAATCACGATCAGAAAGAAGATAATCCAGGCTAATAGGCCGTGATCGAATAAAATTTCTGAATTATCAGACGAAACGTCTGACATCGTCAGTGGCATGCTTCGACTGCGAGGTCGAAGGTATTATCTTGAAGTCTCAGCAAAGACTGTCAGTCGTTTCTGAAATTTCGAGATATTATCTACGTTTGGTACTACAAGTTACATTCGGCCATGGCCTACCAGCCGGGATTTTATTCTCTCTAGTAATGAAGAATATGCTTATGAGCCATAAACGGCTATGACATCTCTTAAGAAGACGTCATCTTGGGGATCGATCGAAGACAATCTACCAATATGAAAAATAAACGAGACTCTCCATTGAGGTTCATTGTGAAGCCGAGTTTCAATATAGAACGCCAAACGACATTCGCTCTCTGTCTTTCACTGCAGCTTCCACCGCATGGCAACTAAATAAAACCAAAGCCCAAAGACAAAGCATTCGCAATTCAACATCATTTAACGTTTTTCGATCCGTCATGGGTCCCATCAATACCGCTGGGCTGTACTATGAATGCTTTGCTGGACCCAACTGTCCTTAATAGCTGAGACAGCAAAGGCGATGACATCTACTGAATCAAAGAGTATGAGGAGATGTCATCGATTTTACTTTCTCAGGATTGCCCTTCAAGTAGTTCAACCTAGTATCACCGATGAGACATATGATGAGTCAAAATGGCACTATCATGTTAAATCACGAAACGACCTTCTAACGGCAAACCTTGGTTCAACAAAAGTTACGAACAAGGTGTCGCCTCTAAAAATCTCGCCTACCGGCAGTGGCGCAAAAATCCCAGTGCCGAAAACCGAACTAGGTTTGTTAATGCCTGAAAAGTTAGGATAAATGAAAGCAAAGATCTTCACAATCAGAGAATTAGGGATAAACTGCTTGCCAATCCCAACGAGTCTAGATCCTTTTGGTCGGTAGCTAAAGCTTTCAAATCAGAACTTTACAAAACACAAGCGGATGGTTCAATTGCAACAACAGCCATAGGAAAAGCAAATCTACTAGTTGAACAATTTGTGTCCTATTCCATTCGGGAAAGGCAGCACCCACTATTCCCACACTTCACAATCAGAGAATTAGGGATAAACTGCTTGCCAATCCCAACGAGTCTAGATCATTTTGGTCGGTAGCTAAAGCTGTTAAATCAGAACTTTACAAAACACAAGCGGATGGTTCAATTGCAACAACAGCTATAGGAAAAGCAAATCTACTAGCTGAACAATTTGTATCCTATTCCATTCGGGAAAGGCACCTCCCACTACTATTTCCACACTAAAATCCACAATGCCCGAAATCAACAAGGCGTCTGGCCCTGATGAAGTGCCCGTCATCGTACTTAAAAAGTGCGCAAATGAACTTACACCAGTATTTTGCAGCCTTTTCAACTTGTCTTACAAGAATGGGGCTTTTCCTTCTTGTTGAAAAATTGCTCGCGTTCAACATATTCCCAAAAAGAGCAAGAAACATGTTCCAAATAACTACAGACCAGTCGCTTTGCAATCAGTGGTATCAAAAATCATGGAGAACGTCGTAAACCACCATATCCACAAATATCTTGAGCGATCACCAATATGGCTTTTGGAAACAAAGATCAACAGGCGACCTTCTATCGTATGTCACCCATATTTGGAATAACGCAATCGAGTAACATGAAGAATCAAAAGCTGTTGCGATTGATATTTCTAAGGCCTTTGACTGTGTGTGGCATGAGGGTTTGCTGGCCAAACTTCAAAGCCATGGCTTGTCGGATCATTTCTGTGTATGGCTCTTCAGATTACTGACTTGTCTCGTCATTCCATTTGGATTCCAGGACATCGGCTAAGGAGGCACATCTTCACAGGCAGCGGGAGATTACATATCTTAATGAGGATTCAGGAGTGATTTCGAATTGGGGTGGAAATAACCAGGTTCAATTCAATGCCACAAAAACCCAGGCATCGGTTTTCTCCAAAAAAGTAAATAACTCCGAACCGTATATAATAAGGTCAGGTCAGACAATTCCGGTTTCTGCTTCGTTAGAGATTAAAGTAGACACCAATATGTCTTGCAGTGGCTACTCCTCAAAAGCTTGAAACACTATTCCGAACCAGGAAACTATACACACCTCAGCAACTGTTGATACTTTATAAAGCTCAGATCAGACCTTCTTTGGAGTATTGTTCTCATATATAGAACACATACCCTGAAGTTGCTGGATTCCATCCAGAAAATAGCCTGACTGGAGACGCGAACATCACGTGCAACCTTGATAGGCTGGAAAGTCGAAGAAAGGTTAGAGATTTGTCTCTCTTCTATAGATACTTTCACGGGAGGTGTTCAAGTGACTCGGCACATTCTGATCCACCAAGAGCGGTACATCTCAGAAATACGCGACGGACTGTGGCTGCTCATCGTTTTGAGGTTCAACTCAGTACACCTCGATTTCCACTGTTCAAGAAATCTTCCGTCTGGAGAACTGCGTTTATGTGGAATAAACTTCCTGAAAACGTTTTTTCAAATGAATTTAATCTCCAGCGATTCAAATCCAATGTGAATCAGTACTTTCACACAGGCACCGCTCTGGAAGCGCCTTAAGGATTTTTTGTAGTGCTTGTGTTTTGTCTTTGAATACCTTATTTTGGGCTTTTGATTCATCTAGTTACATTGTGGTGAAAGCTGCAATAAAAAACAAAATACAAATCTCGTTCCAAGCTTGACTTTACAACGGCTCGCCTTGGAGAGTCTTGTTAATCTTCGATATTCCTATATAGATTGAGTCTTACGTCGTTTCCATAGATAGCTTCTCGGTAAGGATCTTTCTCAGCCTTGTCCTTGGACAACAATAATCTATGAAGATCCTCTACCCTATAATTCATCTATAAATAAAATCGATGATGTTAGTTTCGAAAGGTCAACAAATGATTGTTCAACTGATAGAATAACTGAGGAAAATTGACAGTATCGAAAATAATTTTTGATAGCATGAACATTGCATTGTAATTCGCTCAATCCCCATTTCTTCGAATTGAAATAAGGGTGGAGTAATATCTCAATGAGAAGTTGCTGGATTGCTTCTAAGAATTGGTGCATTAGTTCTAAAGATACTCGAATGTAGCTGAATTAATTTGAGTGTTGAAGTCTGTGTATTATTTTTCAACCCTTTGAAATTATAAGATAGGGGGTGCCTAATTGCCTAAAAATTGGAAGTGAGTCGACCTCATTTTGAGAATAATGAATGTGTTCATCGTGTTACCGAGCTATTCAACCAGTAGGCTCCTGATGTTTTATACAAAGAGACTTGGTTAAACTTCGATCACCGCGTGCAATTTTGTTACAGTATATAAGTGAAAAAGTGATGGAGAATGACAACTTTTTTTTAATGTGTAATGAAAGGTTGGCGTCAAGTGGCCTTCTCGGTAACTTCACATGAATACGAATATGAGTCATTATTATATCTTCAAATGTTTCATGATGAATTTCATTAGTTCAGACTTCCATTCTCTGATATTATATAAAATTATTTGAAATCCCTGAAAGAACTGATGCAAAAAGAAGAATTAAAAAAGAAACTGTTAAAAAANAACTAATAAAATTCTAAATGAAATATTATGTTCATATTTCTTACCACTAGTAGTTGGTTTGCGTGCCAAACGCACAAGAGCTATGTCATTCCTGAGGCTAGTTCGATTGAATTCAGAATGAAGAGTGATTTTGTCAACTTCAATATCTTCGACATCAGTACAAGTTTCTGGAGTACAGGTCGCCGGCAAGGATGGTAAATTGGCTCCAACTCGAATCACTTTCCTTCAATTGGAAAAACTTGGTTAGTATCACACTTCGAAGCAAAAATTCAACCAAAAACAGTTTTTGTGCTCCTAATCATCGGTGCTATCAATATACACGTTTTTTAGAGGAGCATTTTCAAAGGGTACTTTGGTTCATCCCGCTATGAGGGGGTTATCTTTGGAATCTTAACTGTGATAGAGGATTGAACAGTACATTATTTCAAACAACTTCCAAATATCATTCTCATGGTTCTCCAAATCAATAATTTTGGCCAGAAATTTCCAAAATTATGTTCGAGATTAGGACGAAAGTCAGCCCCGGATCTTCAATTTTTCTTTAGGCGGTGCAAAAACTAAAAAATGCTGCCTCCGCCCACTTATATTTATTTTTACCTTTATCATCTTTATAATTTCAGCTACCAAATTTCCACATTAGGACATAGGCCTGACGGAAATATTGCATCAATCGTAGTTTTTTCTGTGTTAAGCCTATTTATTAACAAATATATATTCATGAACGTTCAGTCGTCAACTTCTTCAACCGTGCCATTGACATTGGTTTTGGAACCGGATTCCTCTAATGGTATGTACTGGTTTGGTTATTTCTTCATTACCATATCTTGCGTTTTCACGAATAAGTTTTCATATCAATTAATATATTGGTGAAGTAATTGACATTATTCTTTTTCAGAAAATGCTATTGGTTGTCTAATGTCACCATTTCAGCTCCTGAAGCATTCAGGAGTTTGTAAGTAGGCAATCACACCAAGAAAAAAAAAGTTATATGCATCAGTGAAAGTATTGCAAAAAACAATGAATAATATGAGGAACAGTAAAAAAACCTTAGCAAAAGATTACATGAAGCTGAAACATTCAAGGATAAATATGAATTGGAGCATAACATGGAAAAGCTGAATTCCTTGGCAGCAATACTGATTCGATTGCAATTTCGAGAATCAAGTAAGTGCAAGNATGGCCTTATTTTAAAAATTTATGGTTTATAAAAACTAGTTTACAGACACGACAAACAACTGGAAATATGGTAAGTACATATGTTATTTTTTGCAAATATGTAGTACTATGGGCTACTTACAGATTTTTCTCCTTTTTTACATACATTTGTACTGCCAAGGAACTTCTCCGTCTGGTGAATTAAAATAATCTCTAAACTCATCTCGAATTTTCTTTGCAATATTACAGTAATTATTAGATCCCTGTTGGGGAAGGGGTAGCAAATTATTATCTGGAAGTCCCTCAATTCTCCAACTACCGGGTACAATTTCACCATTACCATCTTCTCTGTCAAATACATTATCTGTTGCATAAAATTTTCTTGAAGATTTTTTTGTCATCAAAAAATTATGTAACGTACATACAGCTAATATTACAGAATTCGTTTTTTCGGGCTTAAGAAGGATAGGCTTTCGTAAAACATGGAAAACGCTTGATACTATGCCGAAAACATTTTCCACCATTCGGCGTGCCCTCGAAAGCCTATAATTATAAATTCTTGCGGAGCCTGGTTAATGATATATTCTTGAAGTGAAAAGCGTCATCTGCGACGACTATGTGGGGTACCGCTAGTCGTCGTCCAGGCAATGGCTTCTTTGGTAGATTTATACCACTTCGCTGGATTATACCAGGCATAACATTAGCGGCAAAAACGCCCCCATCGGAAATACGTTCATTGCATCCAATATCGACAAGTAAAAATTTGTAATTGACGTCTACCAATGCCAAAAGTACCAAGCTGTGAAACCCTTTGTAATTAAAAAAATAACTCCCTGAATTTGGAGCCGCTTGTATGGTGACGTGTTTACCGTCTAATGCACCTCTACAGTGTGATAGTAAAAATATAACAATTGAACAATTAAAATTAGGAGATCTCAAGTCAAGTTACTTCACGATATTTCGATTTTTAGTATCCACAATCATCTTCGGGTGATGACTGGACTAATTCCTCCGAGAGATGACTATTTATGGGTCATTTGAGTACTTTCACTTATCTCCGCTTTCCTTTTTTCGCTTCACCGGTTTACTGGGAAAGTGGGATATAAATATGCTGCACGCAGTCATCAGAGATAAACTCAAGATGTATGAACCTCTGAAAAAGATAGTCATTCGCGCCAGCGAAACGTCAGGAATGTTTTCCTGACGTTCCAACTGCCTTCAAACCAGCATCAACTTGTTCAACAGGGTAAATTTTCAGAAAAGTAAGTATCAATGGAAATTTTGCTTTGATGTTTTATATAATATATTATTGGCATTTCAAAGCCCCATACCTTTCAAACAATAGAAAAATGGAATATTCCTTTGATGAGATATCACTCAACTCTTTTTTTTACATATTTTCGATTTGTGTGAGAGATTATTTTCCTGTCAGTTTTGTTCCGCGGTACATTTTCGATAGCCCACTCTGTATGTTCAAACAGATGACCATCCGAATGAAAATTTTGTTCAACACGTTCCCCAATATTCTGAAGAATTTTTCAAATGATATGTGAACGGTCGTCCGCAATTGGGATATCCTACAAAAAATCGAGGGGCGCCTAATATTTTGACCGCGGAAGTTAGTCAATGTATTTTTTCCAATACACTGCCTTAAAAATTATTAGTGTAAATACTGACGAAAAGTCAAGAAATAATGTAGAGGATCGCCTTCATCATACTGTCCATATAAACTAACATTTTCCGCAGCAGTAAATTGGAAAAAGAAGAAACATTGAATGGCCTCCAGGGTCGACAGATTTGTCAACCCTTTCTTTGTGAGGTCACTCACATAAAATATCTATTGAACACAATTGGCATATCAGGGTATTAGTTTGTAGTAAGTCAACAACTTAATATGATGTAACTTTCTAGAAAATTCAATCACTACACTTAAGTGAAATTCATAGGATTCAACACGACATCTCACCTCAACCTAAAAGAAATATGTTTGTTTGAAAGTGATTGACAATGTTTCATGGTGAATTTTATTAGTTCGGACTTTGATGATTCTGACGTGATTTGAAATATCTGAAAGAAAGAATAAAATTTGCCAATCTAGCCTGTTTCACCATAGATATGTGAAGAGCAGGTGAGTCTAGAAGGATTTTCATGACAGTATCGTGCTAATGGTTCCGGAGACAGCATGTCTCGGTACACCAGAGAGTTACACCTGAGCCGTTTGTTGCAAAGCTTTTGGCCATCAGGCAATTGCTTCGAATGTGATCATTGGTACGACAATCATCAAATCTGTCCAATGAATTTGTTAGAGTTTCGAGGCCCCAGATGTTTCACTAATCTTTCGACATGTCCATAGGAATAGTTTAGGATCGACTATTCCTATGGACATGTCGAGAAAACGCGCCTCTGGTAAAGTTATTATACTGAAAATTGTTTTATTATTACTGATAGTTTTAACTTTTGTTCAACATAACGTAAGATATACGATTCATTGAAGTTGAACATTTAAAAATACTAGTACTTGAGCTGGCATCAACATTAAATTGTTAAATTGTTCTACATTTCATATAATAGTAGTTACAAAACTTGATCAGTTAAAAGTAGGAATTCTAGGCAAACAGGTAGATTTAAAAAAAGCATTTACCAAACACTAATAATTCTAAGTACACAAGTAAAATTCAAACAAAAAGTGGTCAATAACGATTAATCCTTGGAGTTTCGTTAAAATGGGTTCAATATTGAGATGGTAGCCAGTTGGGTTGGCGTAAGTGGTTTGCTCTACTCATTCAATCGACCGCTGCGTGAACCGATGGTTCGGGCCCAAATGTCGTTTGATCGATTTTCACTTGCTATCGTCCAACTCGCACTAAGAATTGCACGTTGAAATGTTAAGACCACCATGGTGCTCAACTGGCACAAGTTTTGACTTCTGAGGGTCACCGTTTGTAGGGGGGCAACAGCTGGTTGACGGATTTTTTTTTTTCAAACGGATTACCTTCTTATTGGTCGTTCAATAGAAAAAATTGTTATTTTCGTTCATACATTTCCAGGGATTCTAGAAGGTTCAATTATTGTCCTTTATTTTCTTTGTGTGATATATCGTGGTTCATGTCGAAATCGTGGTTGTTCTCTGAAAGATGACAAGCATAGTTAGAATTAGTCTTCCTCAGATCAAAACTTTTTTTGTGTTAAAAAACTCTCGCTTCGGAACATCTAAATTTTTTTCCTAGATAATCATCTATACCTAATCCACATAGCTTATAAACACCCGACTCATTTTCCTTGTCAATGTTTGACTTGTTGATCTTTACATGTCCACCTGAAGTCTTGTAAGCTATAATGGTCACTTAGTAGTGTCTTCATTTTTACTAATGATTTTCCAGTTTGTGCGAATGTTCTATAGGTGCAAGGGAACACTTGGTTTTTGATCTATAATTTTCATTCAAGACATCGGTTTTCTCCATTATTAACATTATTATATCCGGTACCGGATATAATATTGTTAGATCAGGCAATTTCGCTTTCTGCTCCAATAAGTATGTTGGGGGGCTAAAATAATCACCAATATGTCTTAGCACAAACATGTCGCTGGAATTGCAAAGGCTGCTTTTCAAAAGCTTGAAACGCTGTTCCGAACACGAAAACTGTACATACCTCAACAACTTTTAATGCTTTATGAAGCTCAGATCAGACCTTCCTTTGGAGTATTGATCTCATGTATGGAGCTCTACCCCCAAACATACCTTGAAGTTGCTGGATTCCATCCAGAAAAGAGCCATCCTCCTGATTGGAGATGCGAACATAACTTTCAACCTTGATAGTCTGGAACATCGAAGATAGGTTCGGTACATATCAAAAATACGCGACGGACTGTGACTGTTCATAGTTTTGAGGTTCAACTCAGTACACCTCGAACTTCACTGTTTAAGAACTCTTTGATTTGGAGAACTGCGTTTATGTAGAATAAACTTTCTGAGAACTTTTTTCCAAATGGATTTCATCTCCAGCGATTCAAATCAAATGCACAGGCACCGCTCTAAGAGTGCCTTAAGGATTTTCCTGTAGTGTTTGTGTTTTGTCTTTAAAAAAAATCAGGAAAATAATNTAAAATAGAAATGAAAATCAAACCAGAGGTGTGCTGCCCAGATCTGCGAATCCTGCGGGCGAGCAGGCTCGTTTTTTGAACTGTGCCTACGCGCCTCGCGAATAATAATATTTGTGCTTAACTTGTGTTAACTGAATGATGAGTTGTCCATTCGTCTGAACTTGCCGTCCGGGGCATAGGCCCCGGCTTGCCCCCCTAGAACCGGAGCTGCTGAAAGTAATGGGATGCAAACTGTAACTTCAACAGAAATATAGTATTTCCTCTTCTTTCAGAAGAAAGTCAGAATCAATACTAAGAAACGAAATAATCGTGATAAAATACCAGAAAGCGTAGGATGAATCACGTAAGCATTGCAGGACGCAATTAAACATGAAGGATGAGTGAGAAAACGCACTGATCACTTTCCTAATGAAGACGCGACCTATGGGGTTACAGCTACAGCTGTCACTGAGAGGCAGCTATTCGAAACCACAGCTCAAAAACAAAGCATTCATGATCGCTATTTTATTTTTGATTTTATTGAATTGAGTCTTTTGGCGATTCCTTAAACGACTTCCTCACTGAGGCACTTGTTTGTGGACGGTTTTGAATTGTTTCATTTTTCATCTATTGCCATAAATGGCCATTTTACAGCTTTTTCAAGAATACCTGTCCAAACGTTACTTTATTGTGGCTATTTGTGAGTCATTTTCCGAAAATAGACAGATTTTCATCACTCCATTAGCGATAATTCTATCGATTTGAATCTTTATTCCGAAATCTGCAGAAAACTACTTGTGAGTTTGATTCCTGTTACTCACATCACGATTTGGATTTCTTACATTATTTTTTATTGCATTCCATAAATGAAAAGCATGTCAATTCTTTCATGAGATACCACTCAAATTTCACTGTCACATTAATTCTTGATGTACATTTTTTGAAAAAATTCAGCCCTTTTTTTCATATATATCAGAAAAAGAACGGGCGATTCGCGCATCAACAAACATAATTTTTGTTCGGGTGTGTGAAAAGTATTTCCAACAGATAAATAGATAATAAAACCAAAAGGATATGTCTGATTATATTATAAGTTTACACGGTTTCAGAGATATTTTGATTGTGATTGTGGTGGTTTTTGAGGGGGTTAGTTAGATGCATTTCGAAAATTATAGCGATCTGATCAATCAAATCATTCAATTGTAGTTTGAGAACAACTTCATCAAGTTCAACCATATCATGATTTGGGGATTTTTTCATTCAATTCAGATGTGAGTTTTTCAACATATATCTGTATCGACCGTTTTTTGTAAAATTTGTGTTATTTTTCAATTCCGGGTGATGAGATGAATAATTTGCTGTTTCTATTCCTGGGGTTTTCATGGCAGAGATCACTTTTCAGTATTTTGATATTTACAAACAAAATATTCAATGACAACTATTCGTTTCAAAAATAATTTTTTCTTTTAGTCTGTTTAAAATATGTTTTTCCGTTAACCAGCTGCTGCACCGCTACGAATGACAACCCTCAGAAGTCGAAACTTGTGCGAGCTAGGGACCCGTTCCACAATGGAATTAAAAAACTAGATACATTTAGCAAGACGAATTTTTGGAAGTGCATTTTTTCTCATGACAGGCCAATGTGGGAATTCACTGGACAAGGAATGACATCGAAGTCACGTATTCATGAAAATTATGAAATTTAAATCACGTTCCGTTCAAATAGGTGGAGCGAGCGGTGAATTGAGTTTACTCCATCTCCTGAAGACGCCATCCCGGTTGGTGAAACACGCGTTGAGAAGAGTGTGCAATTCTGGTGTTTTGGAACAGTGCTTGTTGTGGAATAATGACATTATATTCATGAATGAATTTTAAAACATTTTCAAATTTGTTTAGTTCCGATTCTAAGTTATAGAGGGAGCTGAAAATCGTTGCCAGCTGACAGCATTGTCGTCAACTACGCATGCTCATAATTTGACAAATCGTTGCTGTGACATCTACAGGTTGAAACAACGAACTACAAAAGCATCTTCGACCAATACCATTGCCGTGGGGAGTCTATATAGTAGGTGGTATGTGAGTTTAATAAAACTCCGCCCACAGCTTGCGGATGTAGTAGGAAGCGTAGAGTAAATTCGCAGGACAATACAAACATTAGGAAAAGCATTCTGCAAATCATGCGCATAGACCTGTTGCAGTAGATATAGAAACCGTTGTTAGCCTTTTCTATATCATCAAATAATGAAAGTGGAGGTTGTTCTTTGAAAACGTGTTAGGAATCACACGTTAAAAGGTAAGACCTCGTTAATCCTTAGCTCGCACAAGTTTCGACTTCTGAGGGTTGTCGTTCGTAGGGGTGCGACAGCTGGTTAACGGAAAAACAGATTTTAAAACAGATTTTTTTTAACGTATTTTTGCAGTTCTTCAATTGACATTTTCAAAGTATTAGTACCAATAAGAAAAGCAAAATTCAACAAATAATTTTCACTCGATTGATTTCGCTGAGAATATTTTCCCAAATAGTTGAATCGAGAATAAATTCAAAATTCGTTATAACAGATAAGAGATGACCACCTCGTACTTAGCTTCTGGGGCATGATAAGTGTGCTTAACTTATTCTAACTATGAACTATGCCTACGCGCCTCGCGAATAATAATGTTTGTGCTTAGTGTAGGTCAAAGTTAACTGAATGATGAGTTGTCCATTCGTCTGAACTTGCCGTCCGGGGCATAGGCCCCGGCTTGCCCCCCTAGAACCGGAGCTGCTGAAAGTAATGGGATGCAAACTGTAACTTCAACAGAAATATAGTATTTCCTCTTCTTTCAGAAGAAAGTCAGAATCAATACTAAGAAACGAAATAATCGTGATAAAATACCAGAAAGCGTAGGATGAATCACGTAAGCATTGCAGGACGCAATTAAACATGAAGGATGAGTGAGAAAACGCACTGATCACTTTCCTAATGAAGACGCGACCTATGGGGTTACAGCTACAGCTGTCACTGAGAGGCAGCTATTCGAAACCACAGCTCAAAAACAAAGCATTCATGATCGCTATTTTATTTTTGATTTTATTGAATTGAGTCTTTTGGCGATTCCTTAAACGACTTCCTCACTGAGGCACTTGTTTGTGGACGGTTTTGAATTGTTTCATTTTTCATCTATTGCCATAAATGGCCATTTTACAGCTTTTTCAAGAATACCTGTCCAAACGTTACTTTATTGTGGCTATTTGTGAGTCATTTTCCGAAAATAGACAGATTTTCATCACTCCATTAGCGATAATTCTATTGATTTGAATCTTTATTCCGAAATCTGCANATGGCACTTGAAGTTTGATAGCTAGCAAAATTCGTTTTGACGACAAATGTTTGAATTACTTTCTCAGCAGATAAGTGACTCATATTCCATCGAATAGGAGTCAGTTATTATAAAATCTAAATGTTGAAATCAAATCAAAGTTTTGTATTTTTTTGAATATTACCATATGTATAATGTAAACGACATAAAATCTAATATACACTATATCTATTAATATTTGTGTGTCAACGATTCACAAACATTCTGGTCAAATGCTTTTGGGTTTGTCTTGCTTTCAGGACATAAACTTCTACCTAATACCTTTGATACATTACAAACCATTTCAAACTTTTCATTTCTAAATGAACAATTACCGCTCCGATCTAATCAGGCTCTTCAGAGATTTCTTTTTAGTGATAAAATACAGATCAATGGAAAAAATAACCTGGCTATAATAATAGCAATAGATTACGGCCTCCCTATTACTCAATAGTCTTAAACCATAGAGATTATCTAAAGTGAATCGAATATTCAAAAACAACATGATTGCTGAACTATAGATATGCAACTTACATTGATTCTTGCTTTCCATCCAAGCAATGCGCAGCTGTAACCACATACAGATCGTTTACAACCGCTCCTCCGCAATCAAAGCTGTATCCATTCTTTTTCTCGTATCCCAATCGCGCCATCCATGGAAATTGATTTTTACCGGAATCCTCTCCTCCTATTATCCTGCCGCTGGGCTCCAAATTATCTCCGCACTGATCCAGTGATGGTATTTCTTTCCAGTTCTCATGTTTCATTACATCACTGTCACACAGTGAAACTGAAAAAATTTTGGCAGTTTTGTGTTTGTGATTTTGATTGAAGGGTTAAATCCCAATATTTCTGATATTATTGCAAAAAGTATCAGTGAACAGTTAATCAGCGTCCCTCTGTTACGAAAGTCCAGAGCTGCCACCAACCAGCTCAATATGAGCTACCACAGCTCATAGTTATGGCAATGAACACCACCTGACCTAGAGAATCACTGACATCAATGAAAGAGGTGAGTATTCACTCAATCAACATATAAAATACTTGGAAAAGAAAATATTTTATAATGGAAAATGAAAATTGTCACATGTTAATAATGGAACATTTGGTCGCAATGAAAAAAATATTTTTTACGGTAAGTATTGAAAATCGGAGAAATTTATAACATCGTATTTCTCGATGATTGAAGTATGGGCGGAGTTAAGCCATTACACCTGCTCATGACGATTTGGATGTTAATGAGTGGGTATAAGGACTTCAAGCCGTCCACACTTCAATCACTGAAAATGATGATGTCATACTTTTTTCCGTTTTTCACTACCTTAAAAAATATTTTTATCATTATTTTTAACATGACATTGTGGCCATTTGTTTCATTGTTAACATGTGACAATTTTCTTCATTGAAAAATATTTTCTTCTCCATGTAAGTATTTTATACTTCATTGTATCAACTATTGTTATGTTGTTCTTCTTTTATTGTAGAATTTAAAATAATTACCTGATGTTGAATTTATATAGGCTCGAAACATGTACTGATTGATGGTTTTACCGTTCTAACATATGATGATGATATTGAATTGTGGAGACGACTTTGAATGTTCACTCTTCACAAATCTAAAAGCATGTGTTTCGAAAGTATATTTCTTTTGTGCGTTATTCAATGTCTATATGAAAATAGCTGTTTCCAGAGGGCTTTTTCTTCTAGTTTGTGTCTAAACGTTACTTCTTTGCATGATCTACATATCTTTATATAGAGTTGATTTTTGAAATTGGTTGTTTATTTCCTTTCTTTGAAAGATTCCCACATGTTTTATATCAAGATGGAGAAGTAGAAAGCCAAAACTTTTCTCTTCCAAGAAATAAAATTATTGTTTAGCTGCAGCTACTTTTCTTTACAAGTTCACATTATACAGAAAGTTTCCAGGGTGAATTTTTCAATTTGTCCTTGACTTCACTAGTTCCGATTCTCTATCAATCTTGTTTTATATATTTTTTCAGATTATGTATCTATTCGAAGTTGGATTCATTCCTATGATCATGAATTATGGGTCGGACGCACAACTAATGGTTCCAATTCTCCTTTGCCCACATTGTACAAAAAACAATTCGTGTATTGAAGTTTGATCAATTTCAAATCGTATACGTACCTCTGAATTCAATGAAGATAACGATGAAAAAGAAAAACAAGTAATTCATTTTGGAAATAGCTCCTCATGGTAAATACGTTTTTTGGTTTTATACTGAAAATCCTGATATTTATCATAATATGTAGCTTTCTTATCTTTATGCCAAAATATTAAGTATAATCAGGAAATTATTTGTATGACATGAAACAGTTAAATAATTTATGGTCAGAAAAGAAGATAATATTGATGGATAATAAAAATTGTTTCAAAGTTGCAATTTGAAGTAGTAATAGGTACGTATTGTTAACAGAACAGGTGAGGTTTTTCTTTTTTGAGGAGTAATAAAATATAATCGAAATACTCAACCAAAACTTCAGGTTTCCAACTTCAAAATTGACGAAATTCAATACAATGTTTGAACCTCTATTCTCCCCCTTGGGAGTGGAAATTCTTGATTCCCTTTCTTGATGATTATTTACGCTATACAATGAACCTACCTGCATATTTCAATATTCTAGGCTCAGTAGCTTCGGCTGTACGTTAATATAAGAGCAGGCAACAGGTAGTTATCTATATTTTTACTATGAAAATTTTGTAACTGAAAAATTATGCCAAATGCAATAAGTAATGAATAGCTTCGAGAATTGAATTAGGTTGCCTATAAAGAAATTCGCGAAACTAACACAACCTCCAACGACGTCTGCACTCACGTATATGCCCGCGTTCGAATGGCGTTCTCGGCAATGGCGTTTCATTGCTCAGATTGCCCCTCTACCCCCGCTCATGATCCGCCGTCGTCTTACAGTAGACGCGATGCGTAATGGTTTACTGCGTTGCGTCAAGTTAACCTTATCGTGATAACTTTTAAAAGATTCGTCTAAATTACTCAGTGTAAAAGACAAAGGTTATCTATATTGAATACTCAAAACGACAATAATATCAATTTTCATAAGAATTTGACAAATATTCTAAAATGTAAATTGTAAAATAGTATCCATTTGATTTTTTTTTATTTTCTTTGAACTCGACACAAAGTAAATAATAATGGCACAAAGAAACTCTGACTCAGTTATCTCAAAGGTGCTATTTTGTTTCATCCTTTTCATTGAAGAAAATGTATGCTTCTCCACTCACAGGCGATTGTGGTGAAATTGGTAACACGTGTGAATCGTTGTATTTGTGCCACGCGCCAGTATGCCGGTGTATGCAGTATGCTGTATAATGCTCTCTGAAGGTAGTCCCATTGTGATTTAAAAGTGCATATAGATTATAACAAGTAGCCACATTTTCTGCTGCAATTGTCCATATCCAATCCTTCTAAGGAAAATTCGGTGACATCATTCAATTTGCCTCTAAATGTTTCCGTTGGAAATAATATTTTTAAATGAATTATTAAAATATTGGAAAACTTGTATATTGATAGAGACTTTGTGCATTTTCTCCTTTCCTTGCATTTCGAACACGTCGGTTTTTCATTTTCATCCAAAGTTTCTTCTCTTGTAAACGAATACAAGTATTTATGGCTCAGTATTTTATATATAGTGGCTACCACATAAGATGTAGATATATGCTATCGCGGACTTTTATTTAAAACTAATTGAGATAAACAATCTTACGATACATTATACGCATGTAACTCTAACGGTATAGGCAGCGCACTTAATACTCATCGTTATATAATGACCAAAATCACACAAAACTTTTATAAATTTTGGCCTGTATTTATGAAAAGTTTCATCTAAATCCGTTCAGTCGTTTAGACGTGAAAGAACTACATACATACATACATACAGTTATCCATCCTCACAAACTTTCACATTTAAAATAGTATATTCGTTATAATATACGATAGGTGATAGATTTGCTATTTTCGACACGAAAGTAAAAAGTTAATTGATCAGATCCACCCAAAAAGAAATGGGTACTTCCAATCGTCTTGTAAGTATACAACGTAGGTCATCCAACAATTGTTCAGTAACATAATTCAAGTGTTGTCGCAGTCCAGATAATCAGTGTTTGTTTGGCAAAAACCTAAAGCTTTATCAATGATATATTCTGTCACTCATAGTTTCACTTGCAGCTAAACTACTTGCAGCACTCTATCTTGTAGGAAAGTCAGCAGATTCATCACCCTCCTGAACAGCCAAGTGTTTCCTGAGTCGCCTGGCTACCTAAGTTGTTGGTTTCTACCACAAATCAATGGGGTATATTTTCGCTGGATACCTAAGGTTCATACATCTGTTCTGGGTCTACAAGTGTATGAACCTGCTTCAGAACCTGAACGTGTTTCTGATTTATCTGTTAACCAACAGCTATCTGCTCTAGGTATTTTTTTTTTCTGGATGATCCAATTCTCTCTATTCTGGGGCTGGATCAGGCAAATTTGTAGTTAACAGAAGCATTTAGTCGAAGGTCAGTTCCAGAATGCGGTAACTTTTAGTGCAATTGGTAATATGAACAATTCTGTATGTTGCCAATCTAGCCTGTTTCACCATAGATATGTGAAGAGCAGGTGAGTCTAGAAGGATTTTCATGACAGTATCGTGCTAATGGTTCCGGAGACAGCATGTCTCGGTACACCAGAGAGTTACACCTGAGCCGTTTGTTGCAAAGCTTTTGGCCATCAGGCAATTGCTTCGAATGTGATCATTGGTACGACAATCATCAAATCTGTCCAATGAATTTGTTAGAGTTTCGAGGCCCCAGATGTTTCACTAATCTTTCGACATGTCCATAGGAATAGTTTAGGATCGACTATTCCTATGGACATGTCGAGAAAACGCGCCTCTGGTAAAGTTATTATACTGAAAATTGTTTTATTATTACTGATAGTTTTAACTTTTGTTCAACATAACGTAAGATATACGATTCATTGAAGTTGAACATTTAAAAATACTAGTACTTGAGCTGGCATCAACATTAAATTGTTAAATTGTTCTACATTTCATATAATAGTAGTTACAAAACTTGATCAGTTAAAAGTAGGAATTCTAGGCAAACAGGTAGATTTAAAAAAAGCATTTACCAAACACTAATAATTCTAAGTACACAAGTAAAATTCAAACAAAAAGTGGTCAATAACGATTAATCCTTGGAGTTTCGTTAAAATGGGTTCAATATTGAGATGGTAGCCAGTTGGGTTGGCGTGAGTGGTTTGCTCTACTCATTCAATCGACCGCTGCGTGAACCGATGGTTCGAGCCCAAATGTCGTATGATCGATTTTCACTTGCTATCGTCCAACTCGCACTGAGAATCGCACGTTGAAATGTTAAGACCACGATGGTGCTCAACTGGCACAAGTTTTGACTTCTGAGGGTGACCGTTTGTAGGGGGGCAACAGCTGGTTGAGGGATTTTTTTCAAACGGATTACCTTCTTATTGGTCGTTCAATAGAAAAAATTGTTATTTTCGTTCATTCATTTCCAGGGATTCTAGAAGGTTCAATGTATGTACTTTATTTTCTTTGTGTAATATGTCGTAGTTCCTAGACTTGTTGTTGACTTGTTGATCTTTATATGTCCACCTGAAGGCTTGTAAGCTATAATGGTCACTTAGTAGTGTCTTTATTTTAACAAATGATTTTCCAGTTTGTGCGAATGTTCTATAGGCAATTTCGCTTTCTGCTCCAATAAGTATGTTGGGGGGTAAAATAATCACCAATCTTGGCACAAACATGTCGCTGGAATTGCAAAGGCTGCTTCTTAAAAGCTTGAAACGCTGTTCCGAACACGAAAACTGTACATACCTCAACAACTTTTAATGCTTTATAAATCTGAGTTATGTTCTAAATTGTGTTATAAGAGGCTACTTACGAGTATATATCATGTTCACACTTTCTATTTGGGTATACTGAATTCATATTCAAATCACTTCAATAAATGCATATTTACATTTTTGTTGAATTTGGTTAATCCCTTCTGGACCGTCCATTTCAGACTTCTGTTGATTTTTGTACTATGTGCATTGAAGTGTCCACTCTTTTGCAGTCGTTACATACTCGTATAGGATCAGAAGGGTTATGAAGGGTAGTTTTTACTCTACAAGGATAAACCTGATTGATTGCTTTATAAACCGACGCCCGCGCCCTCCAATCTAAATTGATGTTTTTATTGGATATATGGTTCCATATAGTTGGCCACTTACGATCGGTGTGTTTTTTCTTGGATAAGCGGAGCAATTTTTCTGTTTTTCTGCTTTTCATTATAAAATGTCTTTGGGTTCAATATTTTAATTTCCATATTCAAGTTTCCTTATACTATTTTGGTGCTTCTTAGGTTGTTGTGTGCGAATGAATTGCCTCTGAGAAAGCTCAACAGTGGTGTCTCATAATACAGTCCCGTGTTTGTACAGAGAAGGGCATTCATGAATAAAGAATTAGCCTATAGCTCAATATCAATTAGTTTCAGCCCTCCTTCCTCATATCTCAAGTATAGTTGTTTTCTTCTGACTCTATACAAACATCCGAGCCACAAATTTTTCTATTAATTTCAACGATTTCATCTGATTGTGATTTATTGAGAGGTAGAATATGTGCGAGAAACTGAACTTCAGAAAGAATATAAGTGTTAAGGTATCTTTCTCATTTTGTCAGTGGTCATATTTATTTCCATATTTCTGAAAATTTTCTCCCAGTTCAAATGAGCCATTTCATTAAAATCATTAACTAAGCCTTTTTAGTTCCACCGTACGATAAAGGTTCGATAGTTCTTGCACGCCAGTTCCTCAAAGCTCAAACTTGCGTGTTTGTTCCGCATTCGCTCCTATCTCATAAAATTAAATACATACATCCAAATTTCGTATATTTTTTTCGTGTCAGACATAAATAATGACATCATCTGCATATGCTTTGACTTTATGATTACAGAATCAATTTCAATAGGATCTAACGTAAACTTACAAGTTTTATGAACGATTCAAGAGATAAGCAGGAAACCAACGCCGATAGGGGACATTTTTGTCTCACCAAACATTCAGTTGCTCCTTCTGATCACCCCTGTATATTGATATTCTAAACAATAATGACAACTCAATGTCATTCAATTTTGACACTCACTGATACTTCCAAACCTCCCATCAAAACTTCTATTTTAAATTTGTTGTTGTGTGATTGTTCATCTTCAGAATTCATTCCATAATATGGCTGACGATGAAGCAGCAGATGAAACTATTGATATTGAAGATCCAGAAGAAGCGGAAACTACGGGGGGTGAAACTACAGGAGTCGAACCAACTACCGAAACATCTACTCCAGAAGATGATCCCAAGAAACAGACTACTGATATCGATACCGACGAAGAATATGATGAAATGAATCCTGTTGATCTTAACTTTTCACCGATAGATCTCGTAACTTCCATTTACAACAACCGGTACTACTGGTCCATATTCAAAAGTACAGTTGTGTTTTGTATTGCTCTGAAAATGGCTCGCGAATGCAAAATGTTGAAAATACCGATGAAAGAGTACAAGCCATTCAATAGATGCAATCATTTTTTCTGATGAGGTTGTTGTTTTTCTCTAGTGAGTTGTGATACATTCGACATCTTCTGGTACTGTCAAAAAATATATATTACCATTTTAAATTGGTGAATCAATGCATTTTTATTCATTTTATAGAAACATAGATTTGGGTTATAGGTACCTATACCATGCACTAACAAGAGCTCTCAGTCTGGTGATACGGAGTGGAAAGGGAAATATAGAGGATATGATGGATAGGGTTTTACGTAGGTGCTATGGAATTGTTGACTTCGTTGAATTTTTACAAAAAGTAGACTATTGAGAAACTAGTAAGTTCAGAAGTAAAGATTACTTCACAATAAGAAATTCACTAGTATCATCTAATTCTTCAAAATATTCATCATGATACAAAATAAACAAGGTAATATTCGTTGATCAATTATGAAAATCTGACAGTTATTCAAGAATGTTACGGTTAAACCTTATCAAACTCTCAATAACATTATTTCAAACTCTTCAGCTTCATTATTTCTTGCGATAACTGTTGATTAAAAAATTGATCTCAAAGACTGCTCGCTAATAATGGAGGATCCAAGTGATTGATTCAAAGAATAATAAATAAAATAGAGACATCCATAAAAATTCAATAGGAGAAATCCCAAGAATGAAAAAGTATATTTAATAAAAAAATATGGTAATAATTGAAATAAAGAGTGGTAATAAATATGGTAATAAAAAAGTAAGGTCAAATGAATATCACTGTTCATAAATTGTGTTGGGTAAATATATAGTGAAATATACGTTTATGTCAAAGCACAAAAATAAACATTTATTTTTATTTTCACTATTTTCACTATTTTCACACATTTTGACATATTCACATTTGATGTTACTTCCTCTATCGTACCCCCAGAGGGTGTCACCAATATTTTTAAATGGATCACCCTGTTTTTTCGCATTATCAGATGCTCCAAGATGAGGAGATTTCAACAAAGTATTAAACATATGGTCTGAAGCTTATGTTTCGGGAGCTACAAATTATTTGAGTTGAAAACGAGATACCCTGAATAACTTTTGAAACAATGATTTGCAGGACAAATAAAAAAACAGGTCAACAATTATACAGGAGGCCACATTTTGAATTATTCGTTCTAGAGACAAATGGAAGCAATAAATAAATTTCTTGAATCAAAATCTGATGACTGGACAATGAAAAGAAAAAAATTTTCTATAGTAAATGTTCAAAAACATTTTCATCAATTTCCATTCAATGGTACAAATGAGCTTCCATTGCCGCCCTCAAATTTTTGACAATCTCGGGAATTATTTCACCGCAATGCCAGTCAAATCTTCTAATGTTGTTGATTCTATCTCATACACTTTAGACTTCAAATGACCCTATTGAAATAAATCTACAGAAGTGATATCCGGAGAGCTTAGTGGCCATTCTGTAGGAGCTCTTCTGCCAATCCAGCAACCAGAAAAATGATCATCCAAAAATTGTCGCACTGGAGCTGCATAATGAGGAGATGCACCATCCTGCTGAAAAACTATTTCGTTTTCGAATAAATTTATGTCCTCCTCCATCGCCCTATCGATTCCCGGTATTACTCGATTTTCCAACGTATCCAAATATTTATCACTAGTCGAATTATACCATCGATGAAAAAAAGGTCCTATGATGTGGTCACTTGAAATTCCTTCCTAAACATTCAGTTTTTGAGGTCGTTGGGTATGAACTTGACGGTATTGATGAGGATTCGTATCACTCCAATATCGACATTTTGCCGATTCGCCTCTTCATTCAAATTAAACGTACATTCATCCGAAAAACAAATCTTATACAAAAAATTCTGATGCAAGTTGATCCGTTCAGTAAGACTTTCACAAAACTCGATACGTCTATCGAAATCATCTTCGTTCAATTCATGAACTAGTCTAATCTTATATGGATGAAATTTGTACTTATGAAGGATCCTGAAAACATTTGTACGACTGATTCCTGTTTCTCGAGACAACTTAGTAAGAAATTGCGAATTTTCCATTAGTCCAACGTGCCCTAAACCTGCAGTACAAATAGCTTCATCGTTGATAACTCCTGAACGGTTATGCTTTTCATTGTTAACAGATCCAGTTTCCATAAATTTGTTCAATAATTCTAAAACGACTTATATCTGATTTATTTTTTGTTTTTTTTGTTCACATTGACTTTTTGCCCTTCCACAAATATGATGAGATTTTCACAGAATTTGTCAATAAAATAAATAGTTATGCTCAATTTTCAGAGTGCACCTACACTATTTATGAACTCCACTGTACTCTACTGAACTCTACTGTATGCCTCATCCAGAGTACTTCCCTGATATTTGTCGTTTTCTTTTGTAGTTTCTTGTTCACAAATAGATCTCAAACTTTTTCACGGGAAGGACTTGCAATCATCCTTAATTGAGTTAGAAGATAGGTTGTGAAACTTCTCAAGTTCGTATCTCTGAATCTCTTACCATCCATTTCGTAAATCTTTTGACTTCTTATATCAGGCTCACAATAATTTATTCTTATTTTGACATAATGTATTGGCAAGTAGAGGCGATGCCATATATCAATACGAAGACATATATCGGATCGACAGAAGGCAATCCATGAATATCAAAGATAAACAAGACTTCCCAAAGCGTTCCGTTGCTAAACTGAACTTCAAGATTCATCCACTGTCTTTAAATACAACTTCCTCGGAAAGGCAACTAGTTGATACCAGAGCATGGAAACATTAGTGATCCAACACAAGACAGCGCTGGTTTTATCCTCCATACATCTCATCAGCTGAACCAATTATCCTCAAAAGGCATGTCTGAGTGAGTAGACCCCATCAGATGAATCGAGAAAAGATTCAATGCATGAATACCAAAGATAGCCACAATAAACCCTCTGCGGGTTGCAGTGGAGGGTCGATTAGACCCACTCACTTTAGACCTTAGACCTAACCAAAGATAAACGAGGATTCACAAGGCGTCCGTTGCAAAGTCAAGCTTCGTTTTCGTAAGGCTTGTCTTTTAAAGCCAATAATAAAGTCCAGCAATGTATTTGTGTCTTAATCTAGCATCATTAATTGAACCAATGGTGGGTGGAAACAGCACTGTGAGGTGTTGGATGCTTGGTTTTTGGATTCCGGTATTAACAATATAGATAGATAGATAGTCACATGAAATGGGACACCCACATAAAAAAGCTCACTATCAAATTGGGAAGCTTCATAGCAAAGTTCAAACATATCAAGAAATTTCTTGAAATAAGATACTTCTGAATTTTATACTTCGCACTTGTGGAATCACAATTGAGGTACGGAATAATAGCATGGGGAGGTGCCCACAATAATCAAATGAACGGACTCGACGTACTCCAGAAATGGATACTAAAGATAATATAGGTACTCCAAAGATCGATTACATTCCAGTGATGGAATTTATCAACTAGCAAAAGTTTTAGATACTAAACAATCATTTTTAAACGTCTTGATAGTGAAGCAGAAAAAAGAAGGATCTAAAAATTACTATGTGCACGTATATAATACTCGGAAAGGAGATAACCACCTCGCAGAGCCTTTCGTCTCTAAAACAATATCCCAACGTTCATCATATTTCCTCAAACCCAGAGTATACAATGCAGTTCCCAGTGAACTGAAAACAATCAACTCGCTGAGCCTATTCAAGAAAGAACTGAAAAATTGGATTGGATCAACTGATCGATATAAAGAATAATTTATGTAATGTAAATTATGTACAAAAATATCATAATTACCATTTACTTACCTGCTTAAATTAGTATGTATTATATAATTAAGTCTGTCATTTGTTCTGGTGAATAAATATATTATTATTACTATTATTATTATTATCAATAATTCTGATATACTTCAAATAGGTGAATTATTGCATTCACAAGTCACGCTTCTACATATCTAATTTTACTTACCATTAAAGGAATCTATTCGAACAATTCTTTAAAATTTCATTATGCCGAATCTGTATTTTGTCCTTTTTTGCCTGAATCTGAAACGACGGTTCCGATCAACATGATAGGAGAAGAAGACCGTCATTGCTTTTTGTATTATGTGACGAAAACGTGCAGAAAACTCCCCAATGTGACTACGAGTATGCGATTTCTCGTCACGAGATAAAGGATTATCCAATCCTTTATCATGCTCATACTTACGAATTGTCAAATAATTTGAGTTAAAGAATTCATCTGAGTCTGGCTAGTTTTTGCCTCTTTCAGAACGTACTTTTCTACACAATGCTTGAGAACCAAATACAACAAATTTCTATGTTCAAAAAAAAAAGAACCCATGTCCCTTATTCAGTACACCGCTTTCTCAAAATCATCACACTGAACTTGGCTGGCCTCTGAATATTTTTTAACAGAATGAGTAAATATTATCATCAAGTAACAGTGGAATAAATAATTTTTGTCCTGACACAATACAAGTGACATTTCCCCAAATTTCTGTAGTCAAAATCCATGTCTTTGCAATATATTCAGAGGAAGTTGAGAGAAAATTCAAGTGCTTAATGTGTGCCCACGACCTGCCTGAATGGATATACTTGGAAAATCAAGGGTGAAGAAAAAATTCTATATATTTACTGACACCACATGGCGACTCGCTTGAGTCCCAGAAATTCAGAGGTTAATGCATTGGAACAGAGGGGATATCTAATTGGGAAAAAAATTGGGCAAGGCTCATATGCTACAGTGCACCTTGCCGATTATGTCGACAGTACTGGGCCAAAGAAGATGCGCTTGGCATGTAAAATTTTCGACAAAGAAAAAGCTCCCAAAGATTTTTTAGAGAAGTTTTTCCCTAGAGAACTAGAGATACTGACAAAAATCGAGAACCCTCACATCATTCAAGTTCACAGCATCTTACAAAGAGGACCAAGAGTTTTCATATTTATGCGGTAAGTTCTTCTTTACTGGCTCTCACAAAATCTGATCAATTCTTCCATTAGATACGCTGATAACGGGGACCTTCTAGACTTCATTAAGAAAAACGGCGTTGTTCCGGAACAGCAAGCAAAAATATGGTTTAGACAAATGGCAAGCGGTCTCCATTATCTTCACAGCAAAAATATAGCACACAGGGATCTCAAATGTGAGAATATCCTGTTGTCTAGAAGATTCAATGTAAAACTGGCCGACTTTGGTTTCGCGAGGTTTTGCGTGGACTCCGACAATAGAAGAATCTTAAGTCAAACCTACTGCGGTTCCGCAGCTTATGCAGCTCCTGAAGTTGTAAATGGAACTCCTTACAACCCCAAACTATCAGACGTCTGGTCCTTAGGGATTATTCTATTCATAATGTTGAATGCATCAATGCCCTTCGATGACTCCAATCTGAGGAAACTACTCAAGGATCAAATGACGAAGAACTGGGTGTTCCGCTCTCGAGTTAGAGACACGTTATCATCCAGTGCCAAGTCTTTGGTCAGGCATTTGTTGGAGCCAGACCTGACTCAAAGGTTGACCCTAGAAAGAGTTACACAACATGACTGGTTAAGGTTGCGCAGAGATAGACCTTCGCTTATCGGCAGATTGGTGCATTCGGCGCCACATGGACAAAACGCGGGTCAATCAGCACACGTAAGTGGGGAGTACGAAAACGAAACCGTTCCGGGGGATTATCAAAATCCAGATAATAAAAAGAGTGAAATGATGATATCTATGACAGATAACTGACGTCTAGGAATAATTCATTGAAATTAATTTTCATGATTTATCTAATTGTGTAACTGACAAAAATAAATTGTTGAATTCGTGTCAAATCTTAGTATTTCATTCGAAGGTAAATCATACAGGGTGAAAACATAATTTACTAGTATATAGATTTTGAAGTAATTGTTTAGATTATTTTGTTGATTTCATTACCCCTTCATGGGTAGATACAAACCGCAATGACTATGTCACTGAATAAGGAAAAAATTATTTGAACATATTTTATCATTCTATATGTTGTTATTATTGATATTCTTTATAGAATACGAAAGCATATCAATCGCAAATATCTGGTGAAGTTTTATATATTCAGGATTTTATTATTTATTTTACATATGGAATCTGCAAATGTCGTGATTTTTTTAATCATTGAAAAAACCAAAATAAATCTATACATAAACACTCGCACTCAGAACCAACTAAGAAGCTATATTACCCGAAGAAATTATTGAATTCCTAACCACTTTGCAGTTTGTCAATTCATCCATCTCACTATCATAGATAAAAATAAAGCAGTTTATAATTCACTGAAAATCATTTCGGAGGCTGAAATTTGCATACGTTTTCAAAATTCGAAAAATAATCAACTGATCACCAACTGATCATCTTCATGAAGAAGATTAAACTAAAAATACCTACAACGTAAATAGAACATACAAATACAAATCAATTAACAGAATGTAAGAGAAAAGAGGAAAAAAACACCTCAAAAGTGCTTCTTCGTTCTCTCCTTTTCATAAAAGAGGACATATGCCTCCTCACTCACAAGCGAATTAGGTGAAATTGGGCACACATTTGAATCGTATTCATGCCACGTGCCACTTCAAGGGTGTCTGCAATATGCTGTGTAATGGCCGTTGTAAGTAGTCCCACTGTGATTCGAAAGTGCATATAGATTATAACGACAAGGGCCACATTGTCTGCTGCATAATTGCTCATATCTAATCCTTCCAAAGAAAAGTCGATGACAACATTCAATTTGTCTCTGAATCTTTCCGTTGGAGAGAATCTTTTTAAATGAATTACTAAAATACTGGGAAATTTATGGATTGATAGGGACTTTGTGCATATTTTTCTTTCCTTGCACCACGTTGGTTTTTCATCTCCATCCAGAGTTTCCTCTCTTGTGAAGGAATCTAGGCATTGTGACAAACTCAATTGGTCAGTTATTTGTGGTATGTCGAGAGACAAATCCCAGAAAAGAACGAAGGTTGCTGAAGAGTGTCCACAGTGTGAGCACTTCATAGTGGATTTTAATTGACCAACGAAATTGTCTACAAATTTCAGAGTTGTTTATGTTTAAATATCTCAGCCAGGACTCTTGTGCTTTTCCGGTGTCACTCAAATTTTCGTCAATCAGTTTAGGTTTCTCAGTAATTCTATTCAGGTAATCATGTAAACCTTTTAAAAGATATCGAAGGAATTCCTGAACGTCTTGATGGGCAGATCCCATGAATCGAGGAGCAAATTTTTGAATCTGACTTTTCAAGTAAGCACTGTTTATTACTCTATCAGATGAATCTTCTGACCACAATTCCTTGAAAACTTCTGCGAATGCTTTAATTAAGGCACCTTTCATAGTAGAAATACTAGTATTGATATCTTCTATGTATGTATAATTTTTTGAATATTCCAGCAACCATCTCGTGTTTGATAAACATTGGCCTGTTCATGAAACAGTTGTTTCCAATATTTTTCAACCCATTAAACCCAAGAGTTCTCACTGAAGAATGTAATACTGAACTAATGTTGTAACTGTTGATTCTACGTTTGCTACTGCTGTCTTCTTCTGAGTAGGCACGGATTGGATAATTCACCCTTTCATTGGATCAGTGAGATAAGGAGTTCGGAACTGAACTGTCCAAAACTGAATTGGATATAGCTGACGTATTGAATTTTGTAGAAGAAGATGAGGAAACAATCTCTCGTCGTGACTAGGATATGAATATAATTTGGAAACAACGGGATGAAGAAAAATTTCATCCAGTGAATGTGACGATGGAATGGTGCCAACAACAGAGGCTGAATTACCACGCTGTATAGCTAAAATAATTTTTTTGGATCAGAAAGGTGGTACATCTTTTTTCTTTAGTATCTTCAGTCATCCTTCTGCCAATTTCATTACCAAAATTCAGAGATAAGGGGCCAAATACACCGAAAGTTTCTACAGCCACAGGATAAAATATAAAATTATTTTCAACATTTCGATACTTCTGCTGTTTTGCTTTCTCACTGGTTAAGGCAGCAGCACCTACATTTTTAGACGTTCCAACTAAATGAGATGGAGACAATGTGTCCGTACATGTGAAATCCCAAACGACAGCTTTGCCACATTTCCAGGGAACAAGGGTCATTCCATCAGGAAGTTTGCCATCATCACGGCTGGTACCTAGTGGTTCTAGGATAGAAGGTATCCCGGCTGATATCAAGGCCCTTGATAACGTACAACTTTATCTTTATTTATACTATAGGTACCTCTTCTAGGTGAGTGTCTTAAACTAATTTCACGATATTGCCTTATCTACTAATCTTGAAAAAAGTTTTACAGGTCAATCTAATAATAATTTTATTTTAACAAGCTATATAGTATACTATTAGGTATTGGTCCACCATTGTTATTCATAATATTATTATATTTACTTATTTCTGCACTCTCATAGGCATCTAGATGCCCGTTGTTGTTAACTTGTCTAACTAATCTTAATGAACTAAATGAGGTCTATGAAATGGTTTTGTTGCAAAATATGATGGGCGACTGTTGATTTTTCTGGTCTTCCATATTTCAGATGTGCTAAGTGTTCCTTATATCTTATTTCAATAATAGATGTTTCTGTCTGTCCATAATATTTTGCATCGCAGTCCTTACATTTAATTTCGTAAATTCCAGACTTTTCCGAATTCTCGACTTTATCTTTTGAATGAAAGGCTCTGTAGTGCTTGACTTGTTTTGGAAATCACTTTCATACCTACTTCCTTGAAAATCTTTCCAAAGTTCTTCGTGTATTGTGAACCTCTCATGTGTGAAAGGAAGAGTCAAAAGACGATGCATTAGAAAATTCAGCTCAACACGTTTGTGCTGTCCACAGTGATGTGAACTGTCAGGAATATACCTGTACACAATTTCCTTCCTAAATACATCGTATTCTAGCCTTCCATGTTAACTCCTCATTACCAAAACGTCATGAAATGGAAGTTGTCCTTTATTTTCTAACTCATACGTGAATTTTATTCATAGAAATGTAACCAAGATAACAAAGTAGTAATTCTGAATAAATTATCCAGCAACCCGTTACCAAAGATGATTAGCGAAGTAAAAGACGTCCTCAAGAAATGCGACAACATACTTACCCTTCAACTGAAAGGAACTTACAAGTTTCCAACCCAAAGGTGTCAAATCTATATTGTCTACCAAAAATCCACAAACCGGGAAAATCAATGCACCCATCGTGTCATCTATTGGATGTCCTAACTACCAAATAGCAAAATGACTCACTGAGGAATTTGCCTATTGCTGAACCAGGTTTAAGTATCAAAAAATCCTTAGAGTTCATACAACATACAAAAAACATCGTTCTGTAAGAAGGTGAGATTTTGGTTTCCTTTAATGATACTTCCTTATTTCCTAGTGTTCCAATTCCACAGACCTCACCTCAGGGAATTACTAGAGAAAAATAATTTCAATAATAACGAAATTGATGAATTCGTTTCTCTCACTAATTTGTGTAATTCAATACTCAGTGATTCTGGTGAGCTTCAATGTTGAAAGTTGAAAGTTTTTTCACGAATGTACCTGTTGATGAAACTCTTCAAATTGTGAGTTCCAGATTGAGAATTGATTCAATTTCAAAACATCGGATGAAGATGGATGTCAACTCTCGAGATTATGAATAGACAAAACCTTTTTTCCATTTGGAGATGATTTTTATCAACAATAATTCAGCATAGCCATGGGTTGCCTTCATCTGCCGTTTTGAGTAACATATACGAGTACAGTGATGTCCTAAAGTAAAAGATACTTCATTTTCTACGCAATCATGAATGCAAATAATAAATCCTTAAACAAGTAAATTCTTATATATATTCCCTAGGGGTAATAGCTCTCCTATGAAAATTTGAAACGAAAAGGGGGGTGTGTGATAACGCGTTTAAAAAGGTTTTCAATTCTCTATTCAGCAATATATCATTTTTTGATTTTTTGACTTGGATTCACAAAAAAAGAGTTATTTTGTTTCATACAAACCAATAGCCCTCGAGTCAAATACCTGTCACGATTGACTAATCTATTAGTTATCTTTTTAACAAAAAAGATTAGACGTATTTAAAACGTATGTTAGTAAGTACGCTAGCCGTCGTTAATAATTTGAAGTTATTAATAGTTTTTTCAGGAATGTCTAAACATTAATGTAAATTGTTTCAAAATGAGCCTATCTGAGACCCAAAGAATCGATATATTAGTATAGACCAGGGTCGATGATTTTTGAAAGAAAAAAAAAACAGTGAGAGAAAAAGTTTGATCAATCTCTTGAAGATGATCACTTACACACATTAAATTTATGACTTGCGCTGCCACTGATCATAGATAGTGTAATTGATTTTCAGCAAGTAACGGGACAGTGTATCCATGATTCATAAGACTCCTTGTTCTTGTGGTAAAAATTATATTGGTGAAAACGAGACCATTAAATTGGAGTTGAAACATCTTGTTCAAAAGTAACTCTTCGTATACTTTTCTTTATAATACAGGCTCACTACCTAAACTTGATCTGCAGAAACTCTAGTCAAAAGTTGAGTCATAAAGGTGATCATTAACGTTTATTTTCACTTTGTTATGAAAGATGAACTGTTAATTTTTAGTAGAGCAATTAATCCAGCAAAACCACAAAAATTATAGGTAAGATAGGTAGATGTTCTGCAACAAATATTTTTATTTTCATTTCAGTCAACTATTCGAGGTGCAATCATTTTTGCACTTACGCACGTTGGTGATTCTGTCAAAATTCTAAAGATTATATATGTATTAGGTAGAGAAAAATTGTGTGCTAAAGATGCT